AGATGGTAAAAAACTTAAAACTGTTATGTCTTATGCATAATTTAAAACAAAGGTTCATATTTTAACTTAAATAAACCTAGATACGTTCAAAATTGTGCTTAGTAAATTACTTTGGAAAATTTATAAATACTGTCTTCATTATAAACAATTTAAATTATTTAATTCCTTTACTTATTAATTTATATCTGTTTTTCAATAATTTTAGCTAAAAGAAATTTCAGGGGCCGAGATAATTTGGTAGGTTGGAAGGACGTTAGGCTCATGTTCGGGAGAACGTGAGTTCAAATCAAACCGGCCGAAGAATCCTGGTATAATAAATGGTGACTGGTGTAGATTAAATCTGTTGGGATCACAAAGTCCTCCAAGTTCCCTTAACAAATCCCTAACTATGAGGGTACTGAATTGGCGATTGATGGTACTGGGGTTCAGATCAAAATTACGAACTGTGTGTGAATGAATGGAGTATGATCGGATCCGCCCTGTAAAACATGACATGAGTGTGGCTGGTTACTAATAAAACCATTGGTTACTAATAAAATTGACCATTGATATGGTTACTAATAAAATTTTTGTATAAATATATATCGTTAAAGTTTAAATGGATCGAAAGAGATTAAATAGGTAAAATGCTTGTGTTTAGTGATAAATGTTTTTCTTTAATTAGCATTTAATTATTTTATGATTTTAAAAAGAAAAATCTTAAATTTAATGGTTACAATTAAGTGAATTTTAAATAAAATGCGGTTAGATAAAAACTTTCGATAAATTATTACCCTATTTGTTATTACCAACTTTTGCTTAAAAAAGCAACTTGCTTATATTTCAGATCCGAATACAAGTATGTTTATAATTTGTATATTATTGTACCATAATAACGAAACACTTGTGCTACCACTTTTTTTTTCTTTATTAAAAGAATCCTCCTAATATAATAAAAGTTGTACCATATTTAGTTTATATTTCAATTTGTATACAATTGGAAAATACAATAATTATTCTTGGTATATGATGAAATAATATGAATGAATGATATGGCATGATATTATATGAATGATAAGATCTTGAAATGACGTAAATGATGTCAGCCAGATAATAACAATAAGCAAATAAAAATTCCTAGTTTCAATTCATAAAATATTGTGCATTTCGATCATTTTGTGAGGTTGACTAAGTAAAATTTTAGTTTTATCTTCTGGTAAATTAAATCATTAAAATAAATTATATGTCGGACCTCTATTTAACGAACTTCCATTTTGCGAATTTCTCTATTTTGCAATTTTTTTCGAGGAACCAAGAACATTTTAGAAATTTCTTTGTAAAATAACTTTCCAATTATTTAACGAACTTTTGTTTGAGATCCACTTTCCTTATTTCCCAAAAATTTTCAGAACATTTCAAACTTGTAAATGCATTTTATGGGGATTGAACTTGAATTGATTTTTGAAGCCATTTACCTTTTAGAGAAATCAGTATAACACTTTTCCCTTTTTGTTTGCATGTCAAACGAAAACTAAGACAAAATCAACGAATTTTATCAGTAGCAATTAAACCTAAGAACACATGTAGTTAATCTTACATCTGTTTAAAATTACTTTTATAATAAAAGCAGCAATAATTATATACATAAATTTAGCTTTTTTTCAAGTTGAAAATGTATGTAGCATTGTAGTGTAACACTGGATAATGTTTTGCTCTATTCTCGCTAACCATGCAGATTTCTTTTATGGCTAAGATTTATAAAATAAATAACAGATACTAGTTTACAAGATAAAGGTGCATCCATTGCTATTTTAATTATGTCTAGTGATTATGAATTTAGAACTTGTTTTGTGATGTTTAAGTGTTTCAAAAGGGGATTTCCTATTTAAAGTATTTTCCATATAACGAACTCATAATCAGGATTTAGCGACTTCGTTAAATAGAGGTCCGTTTGTAAAACGACTTGCTAAATGAGATGATCATAACCAAAGGAATAGAAACAACACAAAGGACTCACGTTAAGTCTTCGACGACTGAATACAGATTATCCAACATTCTTTGCGTCCCCTTGGAGACAACAAGACTGGGAGGTTTCAATAATGGCAGGACGTCCGGATGATCGGCACTTTCGCTGAACGAAGTCTCCAGTAGCAAATGAGATTCCACCTGGTCCCACAGATGAGGATTTCTACTATGTTCAGGTTCTTTGGGCTGCCTCTCAAGTACCCTTGAAAAAAATCAAATAATTTAATACCTTACAATGAGCAATAATTGAAGNAAAATTACTACATATATCTGACTGTATGTAATTATTTGCTTTTGTATTTTTTTTCCAGCTAGTTTATTCCTTCAATTCTTTTCTTTCTTTTTTACTCTGTTTTTTTAAGTTTAAAATCTATAAATATAAAGATGCAGAGAATTTCAGATTTGTTTATAATTTCAATTAATGTTATTATAATGCTTTTTTAAATTTTTTGTTGTGTTTTTGTTTTCAAACTAATTTTATTTATTTTATCAGTTTAAAATTCTAGTATGGGCATTTTATATTACATTCACTTTTAAGAAGATATAAAACAACTTTAAATTACTATATATATATATATATATATATATATGACTGACCTAACAAACATTCTCCGGTGTCCCAGGGTTACCTGAGAATGTTAGGTCAGTCCTTCCTATAATTTTTTATAGAATAAATTTTTCTACGGAACTATATTTATTGAATCAAAGTCAAAGGCATGAAAACAAAGCGATGTTAAAATTAATGAACCGAACAACATCTCAGCTCCCTCCCGATTAATGTTTAAGTTCAAGGACAAAGGTCCCTCAAAACTGGAAGGAAAAAAAAAAAGAAAACTATTTCTACGGAAAATAATATTTGATTCGTATTTACAAATTGTGAACAAAACGTAAAACAAATTTCCTCTTGTAGATATGGACTAGATCAATTAAAAAGAAATTTTCTGCTTAAGAAACATAAATGTTATAAACATAAAGCGTATTATAAACATAAACATGAAACATAAAATGCATAATAAACATAAAACTAGTTCAAAAAAGTTTAAAAGTTCTAATAAATATTGTAAATCAAGTACTGCATTAACTACTGAAGATTTTTAACATTTTCGTGAAAACAAGAAAAGTTCATTTTTTGGGGAGGGGGTCTTATTCAATTGCCTCACTCCTAGTCCGACCAAGAGAAATTGGTTAAGATAAATAAATAAGTCAAAATAATATACGCCAAAATAATATAATAATACTAGGAAACATTTTTTTTCTCGTTTCTCAAAATTTTGAATGAATCTTAGATATTTTCGAGTCCTTGATTTTAAATCAGCAATCAGTTTCTCTTTACAATCTTAAGAGTTTTATGAAATTCAATAATATATTCCATATCGGAATTTTTAGAAATTCACTCGAGTGAATGCTAAAAGACCCCACTTCTCAGCTACGTAGGAATTGGTAGGAAGTAGGAGATAAAACACAGTATTCGATATGGTGCAATATGTTAAGGTCATATGTTTTTTGACCTCAGTTTTTATTTTGAAAATGAGCATACAAGTATATATGTTTCTAAATAAACCTATACATTCTTTATAAATTTAACATTAGATAAAAATAAAATAAAATGAATCATTTAATAAAAATTATAGCTTTCCGAACAAAACTAAGTTCATACACGTGTTAGGTAAGGTCAAGAACTTCTATAAATGTAACAAAAAATTTGTTTCCCAGCGTGTGACATAGTTTATACATAATTTATGACATTTTGCATTAAAAACTCAAAGGGCGTACTGATGACCTAATAGCCCTTTTGATAACTAATTTTTTTTTAATAGTGAAATACGTTACAACAAAATGTAGCTTTTCCTTGTAATACCTTCTACTTACTGTTACTGTTTTATACTTTGATAAAAACACTAAGTTTTTTAGGTAATTTAATTGAGATCGTTTAAAGCTAAAAATAACAAAGCTAATTTACTTAAATGTAGGTAATTTACGTTGAAACAATGTTATGAAAACATTGAATAACGTTGTCTCCATAAACTACTGTAAAAAGACACATATAACCAACAGTTCCCAAAAGGTGCCCCGCGGAATTCTAGGATTTTGAGGAAGAATCACTATTACTTTCTTTTAAAATCCATTATCATTTTTAAATCTTTATTTTCTCTTTTTCCAATCAATAATTCGTCAATTATTAACATTTATTTATTTTTAAGAAATTAATTATATAAAATACAAGAGGAAAGAAACAGAATTTTTTTTAAAAAAAGCATTACTATTTCTGATAACAATATATTGAATACATTTTGAAAAAAAATATTCATTGATGTAGAAAAAATTTTAATTAAATATTTTTTATCAAACTTTTTAATTAAATCCGTTTCAGTTCAGTAAAAAAAATAAAAGCTGAAATATAACTATAAAAAAATTATGTTAACTATTCAAAATGTTTATAAGAGTTCTTTTTTTTTATTTCAACAAAAGCCATAATTTAGCCTCTTTCACATTAATCCATAACTATTAGTAAGCCATAATTATTAAGCTTAATAATTTAGCCATAAAAAAAAATCATTTTTAGATTATGTATATACACTAAAGCTAAAAATTAACTAGACTAGATACATTTCCAACGAATTCAACTGTGTGACATAACATTTAACTTTAAAAACGTTATTAAAACAATTAAAAAATTTCATTTTTCACATTAATTACCTGACTTAGATTTATTTTTTCACAACTGATAATGAATTTTAAATATATATATATATATATATATNATATATATATATATATATATAAATAGTATTCACCTTTATAATTGAAAACATTGCTAAAAATTCCTCATGTAGAGCAGTCCGTTGAGATGTTGACACAAAACAAACAAACAAATGGAACGACATTCACTTTTACTTGATAAATATTGGAACTACTTTTTCGACATTTATAGGATAGATTTCTTACCTACTAAAGAATTGTATCAAATAGATGTGTTATTTAAAGTGAAAACTCACCGTTTTAGATGGAAGGTCACAGTTAATGTTGCATCCTCGTAGATCACCGGCCAACATCTGATGGAGTTCCACTTGGCCCAACAGATAGGTCGGCGACCGGCTCGTCCAGTTTAACTTCTACCTCCTCCCGCCGCCCTACCCACGGGCTGCCCTGATATTCTACAATGTCAAATGATGGAGCTAGGGTCAGTCCGGTTTGACTCCCCTGCTAAAGAAAATTTTCTTCATCCTCTTCTCCCTCATATTTCTGCATCATTTAAACTTGTACGCTTTCATGATTAACGAGCTTAAGAATTCCACTACATTTTATTCATGCAGTGTTTCCCAAACTTTTGACTTTAGTGTACCCCTCTCTAAATTTTTCGTAACGCTGTGTACCACTAATAAAAATAAGAATGTATTTTTTACTAGGAAAAAAATTGCACAAAAGTTAAACATCGCAACTGGCTGTTGACACCACCAATTATTAACTGTTAACTATGCAAAAAATAGCCAATGGAAAAATGGGTAATAGTAAATTTTCATGGCTTGCTTTGTTTTTAAAAAAAAAATTCTGAAATTTTCGTTTGTTGCAAGATATTTCGCATAATAACGCGTACCCCGACTGAACTGTTCCCGTACCCTTGGGGTTACGCGTACCACACTTTGGGAAGCACTGTCGTAATGAAAAGAGAAAGAAAATTCTTAATTAATATTTCTTGTTAAAAATGTGTTAAAATTATGCTTTACATTTTGAAAAATAGTTAATTCATAAGTTTTTACGATTACGAGCATAAGAATTCCACTACATTTTATTCAAGGTATACGCTGCATTAAGGAAATGTAAAAGATAGATGGAAACTCTAAATTCATATTTCTTGTTGAAAAGGTGTTAAAATTATGCTTTACATTTTAAAAATTAGTTAATTCATACGCTTTCACGATTAGGAGCTTAAGAATTTCAGTACATTTTATTCAAGGTATACGCTGCATTAAGGAAATGTAAAAGATAGATGAAAAAGAGGAAGAAAACTCTAAATTCATATTTCTTGTTAAAAATGTGTTAAAATTATGCTTTACATTTTGAAAATTAGTTAGTCCTTACATTTTTACGATCAACGATCTTAAGAATTCCACTTTAGAATTCAAGGCCTTATTAAAAATGTTATCCATTTTTTTTTTCAGTGCCCACCCATATATTGACATCCGTTATTCGGGTATTAGAAAAGTAGATGCTGATCACTTTTCAGGAGACACCATATTAGGCAGGCCAACGTTATTACCGCAGTAAGTAGGACAACAGATAGTACTGAGAGAAGAAGGAAAAAATATCCATGCCTCTGATCGGAATGTATCGCTTATTACAAATGAGAGTTAATTCACTCAGTATTCTCTGTATATCTTATAAAATAAATATGCTAAATTTATTTTTAACATTTTACAAATTAGTTAATCAGTACACTTTTCAATTAAAAAGCGAATTTATGCTATTACATTTCATTTTCAATTTTTCCACACGTATAATTAATAGAATAATTTGTAAATCAAAACATGCATTGGAATCTTGACGAGAAAAATACAATTCTACAGTTATATATTCCTCTCAAACTGAGTGTCCAATATATTGGATAACATTTGATACAATTATCACTTTAAAAATAATATTTTAAGATATATTGTATACCTTTACAAATTTAAAATTATTTTTGTGCTTAGAAATAAAAAATAAATAATAGAAATTGAAAATTAATAATGTACTTTCTTGTGATTAAGCAATTCTTCCGACGTTTTCCATTGTAACTGCGAGTAATATTTTTATATATAAATATTACTCACAGTTACAATGGAAGAGTATATATATATCTTTC